GCAGCACGGAGAGAGACTAGAGGCCATTCTATGATTGGCTGAAGTGCCATTACGCTTTTTCCATTTGTTTCCTTTCGAATAGTCTCTCCCATTGCATTGTAGGCTTATGGGGTGAACTCCTGTTTACTCTGATACTGAAGCCTGATTTGTTCACGTTCGGAAGAGGAAGCTGTTGCTGATGACTCTATGTCGCTGACAGCTTCAGATGCAGAGGAATGGGCGTGTCCCGGAAAGGATCCCGGCTCCCTTCCTCTCAAAGACTTAGCACGGGCCGGCGTGGACAGCAAGTTGATTCGCATCCTCACGAAAGCCATGGAGAAACTGGACTTATGGAAGAGCCCGCCCATAGCCGCTTAGACAAGTGGTACCTACCAGGACACCGTCAATGCTCCTCCCGCTAGAGACCCGGCTCTTTTTTTCCAGAGGTTCAAGATGAACTGACCAGGACGTGGCACGCCCTATTCAGAGCATTCATACGGCTACTTCTGCCGCTCTCACCTCCGTTGACGGCACTGAAAAGAAAGGTTATGGCAAGCTGCCCCCTCTTGAAGAGGAGGTCGCTGCTCATCTCTGCCCTCCATCGGCCCTAGGATTGAAGGCCCATGCAGCGCATCCATCTAAGCCCTGTAGGACCACCTCCGCTCTTGCGGGCAGGGCCTATTCAGCGGCTGGCTCAACGCTGCACATGATGGCGGTGCTCCAAGTTTTCCAGGCCAAACTTCTCTGCTCCATGGACGAGTCTGGCTCTGGATCTGATGCCTTTAAGTTGCCACGAAGGCAACAGCACAGGCAATCTGCAAGGCCATGGCCAACTTGGTGGTGCTGGAGTGCCACCTTTGGCTTAAATTGATGGAGATCAAAAATGCTGACAGGGTCGCCTTCCTCGACTCCCCAGTTTCCCCCACGGAATTATTTGGACCTGCTGTCGATGGATTTGCTGAACGCTTCACGGCGGCACAGAAGTCATCACAGGCTATGCATCACTTACTGCCGAAGCGCTCCAGTTTGGCAGCTGCTTCAAGACACCAGAAAGCTCCATCCTTTCAGCAGCCTGCTAAGCCTGCGCCGTCAACGACCCAGCCTCAAGCCAAGTCTGAGCCTGTTTCTTAAGCATCAGGGACCCCACCCCTGAGTGACAATGGACCCTGAGCCTCAGAAGCCATCCTGATCCGTTTGCAGAGAGGAAGAGGAGAGGGTCAGGTCCCACCGAGACAGTCCCACCCTCAAAGAAAGCTTGTATCCGCTCTCTATCCCCCCGCCTAGTTGTTTAAATTGGACCCGCACTTCAGTGCGTGCCCAACAAAATTACCGCTGTGATAGCAGACCCACATACTCAAAAGAGCATTTCTCCTCTTCTCATTACCACGAATGTCAGTTCCCAGCCCCGTGCGGCGACCTGCCACTTGAAAAACTTAGACCACTTTCCATCCAGCTCCAGGCTTGGAAAGCCATTCCGGATGTATCAAGCTGGGTTCTAAAAACCATAGAACGAGGTTACTCGCTTCAGTTCACTTGTCACTTCAAAGGTATTATTCAAACTTCGGTACAGGACAAAGATACTCACATTCTCTGGTCCGAAGTGCAAACTCTGCTTGTAAAAGGAGCCGTGGAAACGGTTCCTCTAGCAAACAGCTACTTCCTCATTCCCAAGAAAGATGGCGGGCTCAGGCCCATTCTCGATCTGAGGCATTTGAACTACGTGCTTATGAAATGGCCGTTCAAGATGCTGACTTTGAAACAGATCCTCGTGCAGATATGCCCCGGGGACTGTTTTTTATCGGTGGATCTGAAAGATGCTTACTTTCACATCCAGATAGCCCCACTCAGAACAGCTCTTTGTATGCTTCGGAGGCCACTCTAAAGGGCTGCCGGTTACACAGCAGAGACTGGATATCTCGTTGGATAGTTGATGCTATTGCCTTGGCTTATGCCTCAGCAGGCCTATCGGAATGAGGTCCCACTCCACCAGAGGAATGGCCTCCTCCTGGGCTTGGTCCAGAGGAGTTTCAATTGATGATATCTGTGCAGCTTCGTTCTGCACTTGCTTATAGTACAGCACTATTGGATGCATTCCCGATAAGTGGACAACGCAACGGGAGTGACCGTTCGAAAGGGAATGCTCCGGTTACTTTTGTAACTTCGGTTCCCTGAGATAAGGGAATGAACAAAGCATAAGCTGGCTATAAGGCTGTACGTCGCTATCAGTCGAAAGATTCTGATGAATGACGCTCTGAGACGACTTATATAGCAGTCAGCTCCACCCCTTTTGGCAGGTTGAAGCGCCATTTGTTCATGCAGCTACATGAATGTGAACACATCAGGCTTCAGTATCAGAGTAAACATGAGTTTACCCCATAAGAGTACAACGCAATGCTCTTATCTTATCTCAGGGAACTGAGATTACGAAAGTAACCAGAGCATTTTTCTCAATGATAAACAGAGCAACAAAACAGTATTAAACTGTGTGATTAATACACCTCATCAATAACGGATTAACAGTGTAATATGTCTTACTGTATGTTTTTCTCAGGAAACAGAAAAGATGCCATAAATATTACAAAAATGCTTTATTGCATAAACTCTATGCATTTGTCCTGTACATATTTGAATATGTATATTAAAATCATCTATGGGCAGCTTGCAACAAGCTAGTCTCAACTACATAGCTAAATATTCTGCATGCAAAGTGTACAGATCTATCATTAAGTGAATAACTGTAAATATGGTTATTTAAATTTTTTACAGTTCATTTTAATGTACTGTACCACCATATCACCCTTGTTTTCTAAACCCTAAAGTCTTAATTTGAAATACAATCCACTTTAAATACAGAACCAATTTATACACTGTTCAGTTTGATTTCATGGGATATTTTGTTCACAACATTATTGTCCTAATTATTAAAAAGGCCATTTTACAATATTGTCTTTAAACAAACTGAAATAATTGGCTGTGTATGTATTATATTAACATTGTTTGGTACAACATTCCTTAATTTCTAAAATCCCACCCAACCTACCAACCCCAAAATATATTGTTTAATTTTTCACATTCACCACATAATTGTGGAGATCAAAATAATCTAAACATATAGTATATTTCATTTTATCAACCCATCCAGATCTTTAGTTGAATGCTACAAGCTAATGTTACATTCTGGATCAGAAAGGACAGTATGAGGACAAACACAGTGAATGAATTAAACACTTCAACCACCAGGTGTCGCCATTGTACCAGAATAAATTATACACTCACTCCAACCGTACATGGATCAACATTTGAGTGAAAAAAAGGGGTTGGACTAGTAATATTATTATTATACCTTTATAATTTCAATGTATGCACCTTTATTCTCTTCAGTACACCTGTGCAGACAAATATGGCTTTAGTCAGGGGTCTCGGGGGAGAACGGAGAGCTGGCAGACATGTATTGATTTCAGCCGCCCCCTCAGTAGCCCTGACACGATCTGTGCAGAATGTACTGTTTTAAACTATCATGCACGAACAGAAACACACATGTAAAGCTCTATTTACAGAGTTCTGCTCATTCACATGCATAATAAAGTAGAAGCAGGCCTCAGGAAACATGGTGGAGAACATATACCAGTGTGTTTTCTACAGGTGTCCAGAGGAGACATTCATGAAACACAAAGAGAGAACAACTGCATCAGGCACAGAGTTTTAGCCATGGCACCTATGAGAAAGATACAATCATCTTCCAGTATCATTCTTTTTCTTTTTACAATCCCAATATTGAAGATGTGAAGCATCTTCATTACATACATCTATTGAAACATCAACAATGCAGTGCTACAGTGGCTTTAATGCAGACAGAGAAATGAGATACAATATGAACATGCACCATACACATACACATAACCATAAACATGATTGTGGCTCATGGTAAAGTGAAGGACATCTTCAATGCAGCTCAAAAAAAGAAGACTGGCGTAATAAAAAGAAAGTAAATGATTTTTCTATTTTCTATTTTCCTATACATTTTTCTAGTGGGTTTGTGCGGATGGTTTATGGGAGTAATGCAGTGCAAAACAACCCAAGCTCATCCATTAACATAAATCTGAGAGCCATCATAAACCTTTCAGAAATGTTGAAAATATGTGTCACAACAGGTATAACCCAGCAATAACTGGCCATAAAGTACCATTAAGCCACATTAAGCGCCTTAAGTCCTGCAAAACCCAAGCAAAAAACATCTTGTTCTCCACTTATTAGGCCTAGAGGGAACCTGCAGACATTTTCAGCTCTAATTTTGTCACAGACGATTTGGAATGGATTTAAATATGGTAAAATGTGTTAAACAGACCTAACAGAGTAACAGTATTAATGGTAGCTGAAAGCATAATCAAATTAGTTAAAATCTTATCAGTATTTTGTCTTATTTATCTTAGAGTTGATTAATATTATACAATTATATAGTTATATATTATTTATATAATGATATTATAAATTCATTCATATATATATATATAGTTTATTATTATTATTTAAAATTTTTAATTGTTTAATTAAAAATAATTATTGAGTAAAATAAGGTCTGTGGTAACAATAACTTGACGATACTTGAACGTTTTGTTATACAACATGAACTGCACACACCCACACCCAAAACATTCTTTGTATGTAGTTACTATGTAGTTACTTTTTACAAACATGTATTTTTAAAAATAAGCATAACTGCTTCCAAATTCACTTTTCAGTATGATTGTGTGTAATTTATGTTGTAGAGTAAAATGTCCAAGTATCGTCAATTTAAATTTATGACATTTTTCCCCCCTCAATAATATAAAAACCCCATTATAAAGACCCATAGGAAAATCTTGAGGGAACCCATGGCGAATTACTCTTCTGGGTTTTGATGTCACGGCTGCACAGCACTCTATATGGTAGATAATTTTATCCAAAGCAACCTACAATGCATTCAAGATATACTTGTGTGTGTCGCCAGTTTGAACAAAACAACTGTTGGTCTGAAGCCACGGAGGAGACAGTGACGGCTTATGAACTCCTGCGTGTTATTGCATTAGGGAACAGAGGTGGCACGAAAAGCAGAAAGTCAGCCCTTTAAAGTCCCTGCCTGAGAGATGAGGCCCCGTGTAACATGCTGGCTTGGCTCGCCATACACTTCCTGTGTCACTTGGTCCGCATGGAAAAGTAACGGGAGAATACAAATAATAAAAGAATAAAAAGCTCCTCTTTTCAGTAGTGAGGTGTTTGGTTTTGTTTCTCGAGTTTGTTGGTTAATTTTTGACAACTTCATCGACAGACATGCACATGCAGGCTCCGCCGCGCTCACAGTGATGTCACTACTCCATTCCGTTGCGCAGCATCTGATTGGCCGCGATGAGCATGACACTGATGATGAAGGCCATGGCGAACGCGCATATCAGGCTCTTGCGCACACACGTCTGCCGATTCTTCTTTTTGGGATGAACTGCAACGACACAAAAACAGCGATTTAGACTGAGGAAAACAAGTATGCTAATCTGAACACATTTTCTACTTGTGTTGTGTCTGAATGTGTAGGTGTCGATTTGCATTCTAGCCGACCGCCTTTCATCTGCCAATCTGACCCGTCTAAATAAAGCAGTGTTTCTCGTGCAGCTGCGAGGTGGAGGTGTTTCGCTAGGGCTTGAGGTTCACCTGAGCACATGTGGCTGCTCGGCTCACGAGCGTCTGGGGTGACAGTGGGGTCTGGGCTGAGAATAGAGGCAGTTATTAGGAGCTTCTGGAACGCACAGCGAGACAGATTGTGTGCCAGCCTCACCCCGTGATATCATTTTCCGCTCCAGTCCTCCTTCCGGCACAGAGCGCTAGTCAGCAAGTCCCGCCCCCCTGCAGCCAATCCCTGGCCTGGTTACAGCAGAGAGGAAGCGTGATAATGAGCAAACGTAGCTACTCTTCTGCCTGAGTGTTTGTTGCTAAGGAGAACCTTCATTTTTGCCCCTCTCTCACCTTTTCATAAAGTCAAGCTAAATTGTATTGCAGCGTGCTCAGCATGTTTTGAACTTCAAAAATTCTCGACAGCACTGCAACCCTCTTGCGAAAAAGTGCACTCAATTGTATTGAATGTGCACTTGTAGTTTACTATATATTTTTTAAAAACTCTACTTGCAGATAATATTGAATAATAATGAAATAAAAGGCAAATGAAGTGTAGCTAAAAAGTGTACATTTAGATACTTAAGTCCTACTTAAGTGGGTCAAAAAAGCTAATTACCTTTAATATAAATTTAAACTAATACACTTTCAAATGAAACTAATAAACTTTCATTTACTTAATTTTAATTCTATTATAGGCTAGTACATTATATAGCCATAATAAGTACTCTTTTTAAAAATATATTAAAGTGCACCTTTTTAACTTCAAAAAACCTCTCTACAAAAAGTACACAAGCATGACAGTACTGTATGCAGCTGTAAAGCTGAATTCAGGTAAATTGAGGCACTTTTTGCTATTGAGATGACTAGGAAAGAAACCTTATGTAATTTCTCTTTTGCTAGCATCACCAAATGAAAAGCTAAAACTGTTAGCATTCCTATTCATCTTAATGGCAGTTGCTTGGCTAGTTTTAGTTGAAGAGTTTTAGTTAGCTTTTGTGTTAAAGAGACTCCATTTTGCTTGTGTCTCTAGATTAATTAACATAGTCTCAGTGTGTGGTCTGTTGACAACCTAAGCTCGGCCCAGGTGCCACCATTAATGATTCATAAAGACACAGAGGGCTCAACAGAAGGTGTGGATGAGTATTGCTTTAGCGCTGTGGACATCTGTTACTGCTGGTAGGACAGAGACTTGTGCCGTTGGCATAAGGGATGTGCTTGACCCCTGCAATGCTAACACTGTGCTAGCGTGGTCCATACTGAATATTCATACTCTGAAATCATTCACTAAGTGCACTAAGTAGCTTCAAAGCTGTGGTACACAGTTCTTTCTAATGCTTATTGTTGCATAATATGTACTAATTTAACATTTAAAGGGGTCATATGATGCTGCTAAAAAGAACATTATTTTGTGTATTTGGTGTAATGAAATGTGTTTATGCGGTTTATGGTTAAAAAAATACATTATTTTCCACATACTGTACATTATTGTTTCTCCTCTATGCCCCGCCTTTCTGAAACGCGTCGATTTTTACAAAGCTCATCGGTCTAAAAAAGCGAGGTGTGCTGTGATTGGCCAACTATCCAGTGCGTTGTGATTGGCTGAATACCTCAAGCGTGAGACGGAAATGTTACGCCCCACACATACTGTTGATGCCGTGTCCGGCCGGAGCAACGACACAAAAACATGAAAACCCATTACAAACGAGGCATTTGTTGTGATCTTCAGAAATCATTCTAATATGCTGATTTATTATTAGAATTATCAACAGTTGTGCAGCCAAATATTTTTAAGTTACGCCTTCTTTCTTTGCGTGAACGTTTGGGCGGCGTTATGCAAATCTTCTCACATCGTGACGTAGACATGTGGGGTGTGTTAGAACGAGCCGTTTTAGGTAGGCGTGGCTGACTCTTAACTTTTATAAAGAATATCTCTTTGGATTTGAGACTTTAGTCTTTGCAACTTTACAGATCTTCTTTATGCACCAAGAGCTTGTAACACTCCAAAGAGAAAGGAAAAATTGAAATCGCATCATATGACCCATTTAAATCATGGCTGATACTAAAGATACTAAAGATATATAGGGATTATTAATTATATGGGAGAAACAATAGAATGCTAGTATTCTATTCTGAATTCAGCCATTGGCTTTTATTTATCATCTGGATACACAACTACTTGATAAGAACAGTGATTTTGTATATATTTGTTTGCTGTTTTGCACAGTTTTTCTTATAAACAGTGCTTGATCTGTGCATATTTCTCTCCTGATTCAGACAAGACGACTTTTTTTCTGAAGAAAGCATGTTCTAGCCAGAGGCAATGGTTTGAATATAAAAACACCTTAATGATGGATTTGTTTTTCACTTCACAAGTGGAAATTACATCTGGATTATTGTGATGTTTTTATCAGCTGTTTGGACTCTCATTTTGACGGCACCCATTCACTGAAGAGGATCTATTGGTGAGCAAGTGATGTAATGCTGAATTCCTCCTGTTCAGTTCAAGAAACAAACATCTTTGATGGCCTGAGGGTAAATCTGCAGCATATTTTCATTTTTGGGTGAACTATTACTTTACTGTGCTCTTTCAGAAGATGTGTAATAGCGCCCCCTAACAGTGAAAACACAGAAAGCTGGGAAACTTCATCAGTGCGCGGGACAGATAATTGCATCAGTGCAGGGAAAGAGTTAACATGGTGGCCACCACTGAGCCAACCAATATTTTTTGTTTCTAGACAATGTAATGACTAGTCTTTAAACACATCTGTTAAAAGTACTATTGATTTAGGTTAAAAAATCTTTTTAATGGTCTTAGGTTTTAAACTATTTAATGGTCTGAGGCACTCAAAGTGTCAAATAGGCTGAATATGGTATGTTTGCATCATAATTTCAAAACTCAGTCGCATGAGATGATTATGAGTCTGTTTCAGGAGATCTCATAATGTAGTGTAGCATATGCTACAGTGAGCTCTGGTGACCCTGTAGACACCCACTTACGTATCTCGAGATGAGCTGCCCACTCAAAAACCAAACTAGCATCTTTAATTCACTCCTCTGATTTTAATAACCAAATACCCACTAAAATAGCACCTGATGTCAATAGGCTGTGAATATCACATACTGTAAAAGAGCATTAACCCTCCTGCGTATTACCATGAGGAATGTTGTGTTATTCATCACAGAATGAGATGAGCAAATAGAGGTACAGTAACAGGAGTATTATCATGCATGCAACAACAACATCAACACCAGCCCAAATTAATTTGGTAGAACAAACAGACTGAAGCAGAGAAGCTGAACTAGATGAACCAGAGAAGCACCACATCATTACAAACACTGCTTAGTTGCATACATTTAAGTTTAAAGGGTTTGGCTGATCAGAATTACTTTCTTGTTTTTAATCCAAAAAGGAAAAAACGCTGAAATGAGTTAATAATTTGCATGTTGTATCTTATGCGCCTTTCTATTTATTATACTTGCTTTATTTTATTTTTTCTTCTCTATATACATTAATTCATTTACATTTTTTCACGTTTACTCACGTTTTTCATAAATAATGATTAAATCATAAATATTGTAGAATACCTTATTTGATATTTTAAATGCATTCAACTGCAACTTTATCATTACAAAATGTTATAATAAATATATTTACAATACATGACAGACCAGTTTCAGTAGAAATACATTAAAGTAATATTTTAGTTTACTATAAATGCTTATCATGACACTCAAGAGTACACTTTAACCAACAGAAGTAATTAAGAAATTAAATTTAAAAAGATAAATAAATAAAATTAAGAAATTACATAAAGATTAAGTCATACACTGTATACTGTATATATCCACCTAGTATTTCAACTTATAAAAAAAATGTTTTAAATATAATCAACTTGGTTGTATAAATCATTTCAATTTAAATTAAATTATACCGACTTAAAAATCTATTTAAATTTCATATAACTTATAAAAAAAAGTTGAAATTGCTCAAATGATTTTGACGAGTCGCCATGACTTACTGATATGTGACCCTGGAGCACAAAAGCAGTCTTGAGTCACTGGGGTATATTTGTAGCTTGTATGGGTCAAAATTATTTATTTTTCTTTTATGCCAAAAATCATTAGGATATTAAGTAAAGATCATGTTCCATGAAGATATTTTGTAAATTTCCTACTGTAAATATATTCAAACTTAATTTTTGATTAATAATATGCATTGCTAAGAACTTCATTTGGACAACTTTAAAGGCGATTTTCTCAATATTTAGATTGTTTTGCATACATCAATGGAAAGCTTATTTATTCGGCTTTCAGGTGATGTATAAATCTCAATTTCGAAAAATTTACCCTTATGACTGGTTTTGTGGTCCAGGGTCACATATTAGTAATATGCATTGCTAAGAACTTCATTTGGACAACTTTAAAGGCGATTTTCTCAGTATTTAGATTTTTTTTGCACCCCCAGATTCCAGATTTTCAAATAGCTGTATCTCAAATAAATATTGTCATATCCCAACAAACCATACATCAATGGAAAGCTTATTTATTCGGCTTTCAGGTGATGTATAAATCTCAATTTCGAAAAATTTACCCTTATGACTGGTTTTGTGGTCCAGGGTCACATATATTATTTTTTTTACAGTGTACTTAAATGGGCCAAAAAAGCACTCCCTAACACGGGGGTTCTCAACTCTGGCCCCCAAGCTCCACTTTCCTGCAGAGTTTAGCTCCAACCCTAATCAAACACACCTGAAGAAGCTAATCGAGGTCTTCAGGATTACTAGAAAGTTACTGACAGGTGAGTTTGATCAAGGTTGGAGGTAAACTCTACAGGAAAGTGGACCTCGAGGGCCAGAGTTGAGAACCCCTGCCCTAACTGCATTTAATTAATTTTAAATAATAATATATTCTAATTTAACCGCAGTTAAGTGTTTGAACTAATAAGTTGGCTACTCTTTGTAACTATACTAAAGTGTACTTTATTTTCACAAGGGCCACCATCTGCATTTTGTTTTTACATGAAAAAAACACTCTCTGTCATGTTGATTATCATAAATAATAACTAAAATCATGAATATTGTAGAATACCTTATTTGATACTCCATTTATTTGAAATTATCTTTATATCATAATGTATTTTGTACTGACGTTTAAAGGACGAAATGTATTAGAATTCAAGTAGCGTGACTGGAAAGTCAAGGAGATTATCTAGGGCTAATTAATATTCATGAGCCTAGCCTTACCTATACAGTGACATCACAACCAGCCCACTTTAAGGGGCTGTTTACAAGACAATGGGTTTTTGGGGGCCTGAAAATGTGTTTCAAAGCACAAGTTTTTGAAAATAATACCGTTATTGTCTAACTAAACTACAAAAATGCAAATTAAAATGGTGATGTCTTGCATATGCATATTATGTGATCAGTCTATAGGTATGTGTGCAGACGTGTACTGTTTCTTTACAAAGTGGCATTGCCAACTACCGGCTTGACCTGCATAATTTTTTGTCATTTTCGCAGATCTGTGTGAATGGGGATCATTTTGTCTTGTACTCGAAACTTTTCAAAAACACAAAGGAAAAACTTTGCAGTTTTTAGTACAGCATACCCTAAAACTCCACTGACACACACACACACACACACACACACACCCACACACGCAAGGCAGCAAGTTTACACTCACCTCCCTCAAACTCTGTTTGACAGTTCCCGGAGTTCTCGTTCAAGCTCTCCTCCTCATTGATGATGATGTTCTCTATGTCCTTCATCGTCAGGTGGTCCCGGAAGGCATGAAAAAGGATGTGTTTCAGCTCCTCCAGTGTAATCCGCTGCATGTCAAACTACAAAGACAAATAACACACGAGTTACTCAATCGAACTCCAACTCTTCAAAAACTCTTTGTGTTGTATGTTTCTATCAAGGGATAGTTCACCTTAATTTTTTTCAAATTTAATTTGAATTATTTTAGCTTTATACTTTACATTTGTTTAGTTTTCAAATCCCACATTAAAATGAATTTTGCAGTTGAGTGCTTAGATATGAAAACAGCACAGAAAAAAAAAATCAATAGTCTTTGTAATTGAGAAGAAAAAAGGGCATTGATCAGTCTGAACACTTTTGTATGGCATTTGATAAACGGACATAACACAATTAACTGCAAGAAATTCAAAAGACATCTGAGGAAAACTGTCATGGGGACTGTAACTCGTGTTCAGTAAGTTGATTTTTATAACTTGTATCCAGAGGGCGTTTATGAGCTCCATCCCTTTAATTACCCAGGCAACATTAGCCCAGCAGATACATTTTTCAGGAGGACGTAAAAGAAACTGGCGCACCAGCTTAATGCCTTATTTGCAAAGTTGTCAGGTTAGAGAACAAACAGTCATTAGGAAAGCTGAAAGAACTGCAATACAGTCGGATACATATTAATACACCACTAAATCATTCAGCCTTCCCTTATAAAACAGTATAGTCATGGTAATACTGTGGTAACTTTACTGACATAATCATATACAAGAATTTATTCATCTAATTACCACTACAGATGTCCAAAACACATTATTATGATATTTCTAGTACTTTTGTAAATGTTTTAAGTAAGAAAAATGTATAGTTTAAATCTCACTTCACTTTTTTATTAAAACATCGATAAGCGCAGTGATAAAATACAGAATGGAAACCTCCGACTTTGTGACAGGAAGCTCACAGTGCACTTCTGTGGCTCTGGAGAGAGACGCTTGACAGGATGTGCTGCCATTGCAGCTCATGAGGAGAGACAGCAGGATATTACAATAGCTGGCAAGCTAATAAATCTGACAAGCCATTAAGTATTACAGCCTCAGTATGCTCACCTCCACAGTAACTTGTCATTTCACTCCACTTTAGCAAGTCAGTAAGAATGAGAGCAAAATACTGCTTCGTAATACTGCATGCATGATGCAGTAAACACTGCAGACCGGGCCTATAAATCATTTTATATTTCTGTTTAAACCTGAGAAAGCACAAACTGAGTGTTTTATACAGTAGTTTTATGCCCATGAATGTTGACCTATTGTGTCCACGGTTTATATGACATAATATATTCAACCTTATTTTGCAACACGGAAATAAGCTATTTTCTTTTGTGTGAGAATTTTGATTCATTAGCCTCTTAAATAACTAGTAGAATCACAAAGTGCAGTAAACGGTATAACTATTTGTGCTACAAACCAGTGTGTTTATGATAATGAATTAATAATAAATAATATAATAATAAATACCAGTTTGCAATTATTAAAGGGTTACTTTACCCATAAATGAAAATTACCCCATGATTTACTCACCCTCAAGCCATCCTATCATAACATAACATAACATAACATAACATGACATGACATGACATGACATGACATGACATGACATAAAACATAACATAACATAACATAACATAACACAACAACATGACATGACATGACATGACATATATTATAGAAAGCCCACCGCTAGATCTAGTACACTTCTACAATATGCCACATGATTTCTGAATACACATTCATGCCCATAAAACAAACTGTGCATGGTGAGTAATAGATGTTTAATTTTTATTCATTATTAAGATCAATAAAATGAACTTGCAAAGTGTGGAGTCCTAATCAAAAATAGGGTAAAAAATCTAATTGAAAAGGAAAGTCATCTAGGGACTTTCATGCAAACCAGCCCTTTAGCATCCAGACAGTAAAGCTGGGATGCTTCCGGGCTTACCAGAAAGAAAGAGTGGGCACTAACTGCATTGATGTAACCTTCGGACAACCCACAGCCACAGAGATGGAGTCGCCTGAGGGCATCAGATCCATCTGTTTTCACTGGAGGCCATGAGAGTGGGCAGCAGAGCAGCTCATTAAGAGCCCTCATGCTAGATAACAAATCCCATTTTCTTTTTTCTTTTGAACACTCTTTCTTTACTGTGAGTATTTATATATCAGTAATGGTGGCCGGAATGACCTTCAAGGTTGACTGGCTGTGCTGAAGACAGGACTAATCTTTGTTGGGATGGTGTGTGTGTGTGTGTGTGTGTGTGTGTGTGTTTGATGGCAATTTCCAGACAGGCTGGTACCTGCTGACTTATAGGACACTTGAGATCTTTGTTTTAAAATATGAAAAGACACCTTTAAGAGAACCATCCACAGCTTGGCAATATTATGAAAACCAGAGCTAGAATTATAGAACAATAGATGGAATGGTAGGTAGAATAATGCAATGACTGACTGACTGACTGATAGACAGACTGACAGACAGATGAGGTGATGTTGTGTCCTGTGGTGGGATGGGGTGTTGGCCTGCATTGAGTTGTCCCTATATACTAGCACAGGCATATCGACAGCCTCTGTTCTTCCAAACATCAGGCCGCTTAACAGCAATTAGTAACACATTAATGGAATCTCCCTGCTGCTGCAGGGAACTGAGAGCTGTGGTCATTCATCCGGTGCTCCAGCTCCACTACACCACACACTGCAGCCTCTCTATAAAGATGGACAAAATGAAGAGAATGAGAGTGTGTGAAGTGTGTGAGAAGAGAAAGGAAGTATGTAGAGAGATAAAAGATGTGGATGAAAGGCAATCAGATTGTTTTAATGTTTGATACTGACATTGATAATATTAAAGTAAAGAGTCATGCTCTTCAACTGATTATCCAGCATGAAAATATATACAGGGGTTGGACAAAATAATGTGATCACCCATTATTATAGGCGTTAATGTAATTTTTTGCAGGCTACAGTGAAAAAACAAACATTGCAATTACCTTTTATGTTATCTATACTCTCTAGGTTCTTTATCAGTGTAGTATAAGTTGTGTTCAGCAGTGTTTAGTACAAGTTGTGGGTGAAATATGGACTTGTCAGACTCCCAAAAAGGGGAAATTATGGAAGCCCATTCAGCAGGAGTGTCTGTAACTTTAACAGCCTAATTGATCTGTCTTTACAATTCTGACTGTGTACACAAAACATGGCAAGACTTCATCGGCAAGGAAGAATAGTGGGCAAAACCCGAAAGTGAATGATAGGGACCATTATAGGGACCGAAAATCTCTACGAAGGATTGCGACCCAAAACAAAACAGAGTGACAGCAAACCTCAATATTGAAGACCGTGTTTCCACAAAAACTGACCACAGAGAACTTCACAAAGCCAACATCCATGAAGGAGTTGCAATTGCTAAAACTTTAATCACAGACATCAATGCTAAATGGGAAAAATTATGGTGTCATGATCAGAAAACCTGGACTGTTGGAGCACCAAGAGGAACTTCAACATCTGCCCTGGCCAGATAAATCACCTTACTTGAATACTGTCAAGTCATTGTAGACAGTTTTGAAGAGAAGAGTGAGAAGCTGATATCCTCCTCCAACATCTCTGAAGCAACTGGCATTTGTTTTTGATATATTTTTAATATATAATAATTTTTTAATATAACTGGCACAAGTTTAAAAGTTGTATGAATCGATTCTAAGAAAATTGGAAGTTGTATTAAAGGCAAATAGTGGTAGAACACCAACAATTCTTCTGTAATACTGTATACATCTACAATTGGACTCACTGTCCAGCACTGTGACCTTGTCTGACAGCCATTTAATTTCCGCCCATCCTCAAGTCCCACTTCAGGGGAATGTCAGTAAAATATTACGACGTTCACATTTTTAAGTTTTTGAGCACATAATGAAGAGCGGGACACTTTATGTCCAGCCTGTAACCTGGTTTTTATCCAACACTGTCAACATTTCAGCTCTGGCACCGCACACATTTGTCCATGAAAGTCACATGACGGATGTCCTCTTCCAGAGACAGTGTCACAAGAAAATTTATGATTCATAATTCCTGGTATGGACAAGTATCAGTACATTAGTGGATAGCACCACATGATTATCTACAGACATTTCTGCATTTTCAACATTTTTGTCCTTGTAATAAAACTCATTGTGGTCCATAACAACATTTGGATGCCATTGACTTTTATTGTGTGAACAAAAATTAAACTTTTTTTCTTTTCCTTTCTTTTTCTTTTTTTCTTTTAGTAGAAAGGAATTCATTTTAATTTGAACTGCCATAAGGTTGAGTAAATGATAACAGAATTTTCATTTTTGGGTGAACTCTCCCTTTAAGCTAGTACTCAAAGACTTCAGTTCTATGCTTTAAGATTTCAAAATGGCTTTTATTCAGTATATTCTATATGACAGTACTTTCAGTGTATGAGAATGAAGGCATTGTACATGCATAATGTCCCCAGGTATATTTATAGCAGAGAGTCACTTTAATCTAAGAGATCAAGCCTTGAAAGTAGCTATAGATACAAAAGAGTTATGATATGCCATGCAGTTATTACTAGCATTGGGTAAAAGTGATTAGATCATCCTTGTTGTTGAAACAACAGCTTGGCAAACAGTATCGATCTCTCAGCAGCCTGATCATGTTGGAGGGGCGATCGCTTTGGTTATTAAATGAATCAAATCTTATTGACATATCAAAGCTAACATGCTTCATATGTTCAAAAGGATTCAGCATGTACGAATAAACCCGGTGCGCCAACACTTTTGTTGACTGGTGGATGGGTTACTGGCTGTGCCTCTGGCTGGTTGACAGCAAAATGATGTGACCCCATTCGATGTGTACACTGTTCAGCCTACGGCAGCCATAAGTCAAGACCTTTCCCAGAATCCCTGCTTCAGCCTGAAGCTCCGGTTCTGCTGGAAATTGACTGGACAGATGGTTTGTGTCAATGGTGGAAAAGATGACAAAAACATCACATTTAAAGTCTCCTGATGTATTAATCAAGGTTTTTAGGATATCATCTAGCTCTCTTCTTGGCC